GATGTGCTCCACCTGCGTTTTCCATGATGTTTTCTTGTGCTGGCTCTCGAGAAATTGTCTGGTGTGGTGGTTAGGCAGCACAGTGTGACACCTTGTAGACCAATTCATCCAGAGCCACATGAATTTAGGGTTAGAAATGAAGCACTTAAGTGCAAAAAGATCCAGGAGCTCCTCAGCTAGCAATACCACTCAGGTGCTTATATAGCAACTACAAGTGATTTGGGGGAAAAGGTGGAAGAGTTTGCATCTTTAAGCTTTTGCAAAAGGCCAAGGAACAGAGACTTAAAAGAAAAGTTCCCACAGATTTTGCAAACACAGTCTAGGAAGGTGTGTTACTGCAAGACAGACAGAGCTGATACACTAATAGCAGACAATAGTATCATGCCCTTTAAGTGTTACTGAGGTATTAATCATAAAGATGGTATCAGCGGTGACTTGATGTAGAATGATCAAAGGGCAGAAGGAACTAACTTGGAGCAAAAGGATAAAGGGACTAATATGTTTAGCTTGGCTAAACAATGACTAATTAGAGAAGGAAGTGAGGGACATGATAGTTATCACTGCAAAGAGATAGAGCCCTGGGAGTGAAGGGGATGGCTGAGGGATGTATAACTAGGCACTGACATTAAATTGAACGAAGGAAAATCATGCTGAATATTGAGGGCAATGTGCTGATGGTGACTGAGTGACCAGCCAGTGATGTGGTCTCCCAGGGAACCTGCTGGATACGCTGTTAAGACATAGGCTGGCTAAGGCTCTAGAAGTCTGTGTAAGATCATTTTGCACTATTCATTGGTCATGGATTTGGGTGGTACTTTGTGATGTAATAGCTGAAAGGGGCTTTACTTTCCAACTGCTGTGCATGCAACAGGCTCCAATATCCTCTGCACACAGGGAAAAGCATGCACTCAAAGGACAGTGATGGGGTGGATTAAGGATATACTTACACTGTGCCCTATAATGTGGTGTAGATACCAGACTTACCTCTTAAACTGGGTGAAATAACCCACTCAGCTCCATGTAGATGTAGCTACACTGCTTTGAGTAACAAACCAGCTTGTTGAGAACTAGCTCAGGCACCTCTCTCCACTCTGCTTGCAGTGTAGACATACCATAAGCAGCAGAAGCAGAAGCTGGGTTGTGAATATAGATTAAGCAGAATATCTACCAAATCCTTCCTAGCTAGCTATCTTCTTCCCAAGCATGTTTGAGAATCAGGGTGAGAAAAAGATTAGTTTTCAGATTTGATGCTCTTGTTTGGCTGACACTTGTGTTGGCTTTCCACTGGAAGGTCTAGTTTTTAATTGCTTGTAACTTTGCCAAATTTAACACTATTTGAGCTCAACATTTATTTATTTATTACTACTACCATAGCATGCCTCACATTAAAACTTTTTTGGAGAATTTCAGCCAAGTATGCTCAGATGTTTCAGAGAATGACACCAGGGAAATATAACAATTCACCCTGTCAACATTCTGACAAGCATTAGCGGCTCTGAAATTTAGAGCAGGGACCTGCAAATTTGCCTGGGATCAGGGAGGTGCCTGTTAGGATCCTTATGAAAGTCACCCAAAATGTAGGCATTTCAAGCTGCCTGCAACTGCTGCTTCTACCTGTTCGGAAGTTTGTTAGCACCAGAAAACTAAGATTCCATCTATGTAGAGTACGTTCCAATTTAATTATGCTGGGGTTTCATTGCATCTGTACCTCCTGGGGCTACCATGGCTCCAGACAGAATTGAACAGGGAACTCACTCTCTCTCTCTCTCTCTCTCTCTCTCTCTCTCTCTCTTATACTCTTGGTGCTGAAACTGCCTATTGTAAAGCCTGCCCGGCACTTTCTATGGAAAGGTCCATTTTTTAGTTACTGCATTCAGCTTGTAAGGAAGAAAAGACTGACATAGCCCAACTCCCTGTCAATTAAGTCAAGTTATGTGATAGGAAATAAGAACAGGAGCGGAAGGGTCTGAAACTACTGCAGAACCCAGTCCGCCCGAACTTGGGGTAGAACTCCAGGTATTTCGGCCCCAACATGCATTTTGTGGTCCTTCCACCCCCCCTCCTTGGGAAAGTACAGTCTTATAAAGGAGCCACCATGTGAACTAACATGGGGTTTGTTCCATGTTGCTCACCAAGGGCATGGGATGCCCATTTACAAGTGACGCAGGTGGCAACACTTCAAAAGCCCTCCTTGGAATAAAACAACTGTAAGGACTGGCTATGTGTGCAAAGTACAGGGAAGGACTCTGCAAAACTAACTGCCCCCTATTTGATAGAAGGATGCCTCACACCTGTATAACAGTGCAGGCACTGACTGGAAAGGCCTTGGCACCCTGCACTAGTATGTATGAAAATGCTCACAGCTCAGAATCCCAACCGTAGCAGCTGTTGGCGCTTGGGGTGAAATTCTTTTTAGGACTAAAATTCCCACCACATGGCAATAAAGAACCTTCCCCTCCCAAACCACGCACTGGACATCAGTTTGAAATATGGTCATTTAATAAAATTTTCTTTTAAAATTACTACAATCCATACAACATTTAGGGCTGGGGTGCAGGAAGAAACCACACTGAACATAGTACGATCAAGAACCAGGAACTGTAAAGTGACAGTTTTTGCTATTAAAACAAGATAGAGGCTTTAATCTAAGGACTGACGTGCCATCTTCACGCAGGTGTTCACACGCACGCTGTCACTGGTGCTACGCAAACTCCAGCCAGGCTCTGCCTTGTGGCAGCTTCATGCAGTCCAGTTCACTAGCATCTCCAAGTCTGTATGTGCATCACACACATGCAAACATTACAACTCTTCTCTGGAGAGAGAACGTGGGGGCTGCGTATGGACAAGC